GCCGGCTAGTTTGAACCCCGTGCCGCGCGGCTACACGCGGCATGGAGTAGCTAGTTCGGATTAGGCTTCCTAATCCGAACTAGCTGTACACCTTGTTCCACGAGGCGTACAGCTAGTTCGGATTAGAAGCCTAATCCGAACTAGCTACTCCGTGCTGCGTGTAGCCGCGCGGCACGGGGTTCGAACTAGCCGGCATTTAAAAATGGCGCCGGCCGGCTTCATGCAAATGAAGCCCGGGAAATTCAAATCCCGGGCTTCATTTGCAAGTGCGGATGACTACATTACCCCCGCTAGTTCGAACTAGAGGGGTAGTGTAGACATACCCTGTGAGCAGTACCTGCTCTTCATCCACTCCAGATCACTGCCCACTCTGCCATTTCACCACAGTGCTAGCAACTTCCCAGCATCTCTCCTGATGCATCTTCCACCAGGCATCCTGGCACAGCTCTCTGAATGTCCTATCAGTCCATCACCCTCCAGGATAAGACAGAGTCCAGTTCTGCCACTAAACAGACATGTGAATGGCAGTGAGCAGGCTGCATTCACCTTTCCTGGGACACATCTCAGGAAAGGCTCTGATCACAGGGGGCACAGTGGCGCAGCAGGCATTGGCTTCTTTCCCCACTTCACATGCAGATCAAGTCCCACACCATGCACTGGGCAAATAGTCGAATGTTCTGAAGAACGCATGCCCCTGCTGCCAGTGCCTGGGAGCTGCAAAGTCCCTGTAGGCCCTGGGCTAGGGTAGCATAGCCCCAGGCAACGAACAAACGGCAGCTGCACCGGGAAGACTGGAGCATGGGCTATATAGCAGAGCTGAGGCTGCAGACTGAACTGAGCCTGGTGGGCTGCAGCGGTTACAGAACTCCCCTGCCCAGCCACACAAGCACCCAGGCAGTCACAAAAAGCCTGCTGCTCGCAGGGCCACATTTAAAGGCAACCCCTGGGATGTTACTTTCCGCAAGCACCCTTGTACATAGTATAGCCTGGAATATTTCATATGAAAAAACTCTTTACAAAATTAAGGATTTTCTAAGGTTTTCTGGCATCCTGCTGCCACTAAAGGACCTGCTCAGCAGAGGAGAGCACTTGGGCACAGGCGTAGTGTCCCCCACCCTGTTTGTGCCTGTTCTGGCCTTGACAGCAGCATTGCATTGTAGGGCTTCTTAGGGAATGTCTACATAGGGCTAAAACCTCCAGGCCAGGAACGCTCTGTGGGGCTAAACATTTCCAGGTAGATATTCTAGCTTGAGCTGGAGCCCATCTTCTGGGACTCTCCATGCTTGTAGGCTCCTAGAGCTTGGGCTCTGGCCTGAGCCTAAATGCTTTTAGGCTCAGGGTCCACAAGCCCAAGTCAACTGACCAGACATCCCCATAGCTTCTACATTTCTGAAAAGGATCTGTAGGAACCTTATGCACCCGCTCCTGATTCGAATCATCGAAAGGATCTGTAGGAACCCCAAGAGGTTCCCTTATGCACCCGCTCCTGATTCGAATCATCATAAGTTTTACTTGAACAGTAGTACGTAACAATGTTTTGAGACAGAAATGTTTGGGGGGCTTAAATTGATTGTTTCCCCGGCTGACGTGCTCATTGAATTGGTTCAGCCCCCAAGGCTGTTCAGCAGCTAATGTTAAAGGTGGCCTCCTTTGAGTATGTTTGCACTGCATCTGGAAGCAAGCCTCCCACCTCAGCAAATAAAGAGACAGTGAGTAGATTGTTCAAGTAGTTACAAGAGGCTGATAAGAACAATTGGCACCTCAATTGGCACCCAGTGAGCAACGCCTATTGGTATGTCCCAGAAGCAAACATTTGAAATACAAGTACAGAGCCAATACTCATAACCTCACTTACAAATATCATACAGGCATGTGAGTAGTATAAACATAATCAGCAAAGCACAGGCTTTCACTAGTGATCCCACTTGGCTCACTTTGTACAAAATTTGGGGCGCACACACAACAGTGGCTGCATCAATGATCTGCATGTTCTCATCAAAAATCCAATTATCTTTATTTTTCCTCCTCTCCCCTCCCTTTCCCTTATTTATTCTTGGATCTAGACTTCTAATACTTCAGTCATCTGAAGAAGTGGGCTGTGCCCACAAAAGCTCATGATACCAGCTACATGTTTTGTTAGTCTTTTAGGGGCTACTAGACTTTTTGCTGTTTTTTAAGTTTTTCCTATTACAGACTAACTGAGCTTCTTCCCCTCTGAGACTATTATAGAATCATAAAACCATAGAGCTGGAAGAGACCTCAGAAGGTTATCAAGTCCAGCCCCCCGGCAGAACCAATCCCAACTAAATCAACCCAGCTGTCTGCTGCCCGCATGCTCCGCCGCTTTGCTTCCTCTCCCTGGTCTGCTGGAGACCAGGGAGACAGGCCCCGTTCGTAACTGCAGATCCGACATAAGTCGGATCCGCGTAACTCGAGGACTGTCTGTAATTTGCCCCGATTTGATCTTTTCAGCAGTACTCCCAAAACCCGTTATATTGCACCCCTTTCCTCTCCTCAGCTTGAATACCATGAGCACAGGCAAAACCTGAGGTAAAGATGATGCTGGACCATTCACCATATGTCAGCACTCTACAGCCAGGGGATGAAAAGAGAGTAAACAAGAAAGCCAGTCTGGGAAACGCACTAGAGAGGTGACAATTATTCCCAGCCTCTAATTCACTTTCCTTTCTGCTGGCAGTGCCAGTCCTATGCATGTCCTTCTGCCTGTCTGCCTTTCCAATGCCCAGTGGAGGCATGGAAGACTAGACCGCAGTAACCAGATGAGCACCAGACACAGGACCCAGTTGCTCTCATCCCACCTGCTCCAGACAAACAATTCTCTGGACCAAAAACCTGTGTGCCAAAGCATCTGTGCAGAGGCACACACAGAAGAAACACCATGCTGCACACCCACAGTAGCAGAGCAAATAAGCAGGTCTGTTGCAGGGATCAGATTCAGAGCTGTGGCATAGCACAGGCTGTACTAGAATTTATTCCAGCAGCCAAGGGATTATCTATCTTTAAGTCAGTCACACTCGCATATGCCAGGTCCTGCAAACAGTCAAAAATGGCACATTGTTACAACTGATGTCCTAGCTTGTGCTTGGTTTAAATTCATTGCTCTGGAGACAACTATGTAAAAGAGCTGCCTAAAATCTGCTAGGGAGAAGAGACCAGCTCCAGAGGCTGAGCTGTCTTGCTGTTTAGGCCAGCCTGTTCACTCTTCTGTCTTGTAAAAAAAGGGAAGCTTTTCACTAAGGAATCCAAGCTGGGGCTAATACACAAACGCCTGAGTCCTCTGGATGAATGGCACAGAGTCAGGTGAGGTGGCATCCTGGGGTGTCTGCAGCCTGATTCCAGGGGGGGGTGTGCAGTCACACGCACCATTGTGCAGCCTGGCTGGGTTATGCTCACTCACCCTCTGATAAATCATTCATGAAATAAAGCAATTCTCTCCTAGCACAAGGAAAGCCCTCGGCCTCTGGGAACCAGCTCCATCACTATGGTGTGAAGTGGAAGACAGTCCTATAGCTCCTCTTATCTACACTTCTCACTCAAGACACAAGGCTCTTTGTACCTATTCCTTGGGGAACAAGTCCTCAGCCCTGTCCTGGACACTGACGAGACCAGAGTCTTGGCCAGGAGAGGAGCTGAGCCGAGCCAAGGAAATGAAATAAAATACACCCATTCCATAAAAGCAATGAATGAGGGAAACTCTACAGGGAACAAACTCCCACTAGTGCATTTACAGTTTTGGGAGTAACTTTGGGTACGTCTACACTACAGCGCTAGTTCGAACTAGGCGTTAGTCCTCGTAAAATGAGGTTTTCGTAGTTCGAACTAAGCGCTCCGCTAGTTCGAATTTGAATCGAACTAGCGGAGCGCTTAGTTCGAACTACGAAAACCTCATTTTACGAGGACTAACGCCTAGTTCGAACTAGCGTTTTGCTAGTTCGAACTAGGCGTTAGTCCTCGTAAAATGAGGTTTTCGTAGTTCGAACTAAGCGCTCCGCTAGTTCGAATTTGAATCGAACTAGCGGAGCGCTTAGTTCGAACTACGAAAACCTCATTTTACGAGGACTAACGCCTAGTTCGAACTAGCGTTTTGCTAGTTCGAACTAGGCGTTAGTCCTCGTAAAATGAGGTTTTCGTAGTTCGAACTAAGCGCTCCGCTAGTTCGAATTTGAATCGAACTAGCGGAGCGCTTAGTTCGAACTACGAAAACCTCATTTTACGAGGACTAACGCCTAGTTCGAACTAGCGTTTTGCTAGTTCGAACTAGGCGTTAGTCCTCGTAAAATGAGGTTTTCGTAGTTCGAACTAAGCGCTCCGCTAGTTCGAATTTGAATCGAACTAGCGGAGCGCTTAGTTCGAACTACGAAAACCTCATTTTACGAGGACTAACGCCTAGTTCGAACTAGCGTTTTGCTAGTTCGAACTAGGCGTTAGTCCTCGTAAAATGAGGTTTTCGTAGTTCGAACTAAGCGCTCCGCTAGTTCGAATTTGAATCGAACTAGCGGAGCGCTTAGTTCGAACTACGAAAACCTCATTTTACGAGGACTAACGCCTAGTTCGAACTAGCTAGTTCGAACTAACTTTGTAGTGTAGACATACCCTTTGTTCCTGGGTTTCAGCATTGTGTAGAAACCAAGCAGGGAGAGTGCAAAGCTGCTCCCAACTTCC